GATGATGATGGTGGTGGTGGTGGTGAAGATGATGATGGTGCTGATGATGCTGATGATGTTGATGATGATGATGATGATGATGATGATGATGATGATGATGATGACGATGATTATGATGATAATGATGATGATGATGATGATGATGATGAGGAGGAGGAGGAGGAGGAGTAGGAGGAGGAGGAGGATGGTGGTGGTGGTGGTGGTGATGATGATGATCTTCAGACGATCCCGTCTCACTCCTTCAGCGGCTTCATGCGGCGCTTGTGCAGCCTTTTGCAGAGATTCTCGACATCGCATTCTTTCTTCACCTCTTCGCGGCAGCGCTCCAGTCGGCGCCCGTGATCATCGCGCGACTTTTGCCGGCATTTTAGAGGCGTGCCCAGTGACAGCCCGTGTCGGCTCCCAGTCAGGCAAATCGTACCCATTGTACTTGAGTGCGCGCGAAGAGGACAGCCAGATGGCCGCACGTGGGTAATCCAGACGATTGGGACTCCACTGCGCTTCTAGTAATTCAGGCCACATTTCTGATCGGGAATTCCAGGCCCATGGTGTTTCAAACTGTTCCGAGGTCACCAGGGAATGAGGAGACATGGGCGTGGAAGGGAGGGGAGGCGAGGCGGAGGGGGGAACACGGATCCGTAATCCATGTTAGCGTGCGCCCGAAGACAAGGCCTCGCCGTCGAGGTGTCGAGAGGTTGACACCCTTGTCTCGGCGGAAGGCAACGGAAGGATGCAGAAGGCGGCCTAAGTGAAACGAGGTCACCTCCGCCAGCGGAAGCCGGCGGAAGTAAGTATCGGCCCTCCAATAGGGGCATTTTTTTGGGACTCAGGGTTTCCGGAGTTGGCCTGATGGAGAGGGTACTGGGTGATTTCTTCGTTGTCGAGGGGTCTGTACGTCGTTCGCGTCTGTCGCCATCTCTGTCAGGCTGGAGATCTCGGCCGAGCTTTCTTGCGAGCAAGTCCCACGCGTCGAGTGATTTGAGTGTGTCGCCTTAGAGCCGTCGGTGTTTGGTCCGGATGTGGTTGGAGCGGCGGAGTGGAGCGGTTTGCGTGGCGCTGACGGCAAGGTTCGGAGCGGCTGGCGTGTGCGTCGGTTTTTTCTTTGGACGCCCTGTTGTGACTTCGATTTCGTGCTGCCTGCACCTTCTCACTCTCCTCCCTGTTCCCATCCTCCCCCACTTCCCCCTGAATTTCCTCCACCACGGCTCCCCCTCCAGAGCGTAGCACAGCTGTGCACAGGACGGTCTCGACACCGACCCGAAGAGCGTGCTGCTGAAGGCTGCCAGCGAGATAACTCACGATGCGCAGTGCAGCCCCGAGAGTTGATCGTGCTGACGATGGTGATGATGATGATGATGATGATGATGATGATGATGATGATGATGATGATGATGATGATGATGATGATGATGATGATTGAGACGGCCATGATAAGTGTGACAATGATGATTATGATGATGACGATGATGATGACGGCCACGATGGTAATGATGCTGATGCTGCTGATGATGATAATGATGATGATGATGATTATGATGCTGATGATGCTGCTGCTGATGATGATGATGATGATAATGGTGACGATGATGACGATGGCGACTAAGAGGGTAAGTCCGACGATTGTGATGGTTGCGAGAATGATGAGGTTGATAATTAATACGACGACGCTGTGCTTATGATGATACTGGTTGTGGTGATGATGGTGATGGTGATGGCTAGGGTGAAGATGTTTGCTGTTGGCCATCATGTATCTGAAGATATCGATGCAGATGATTGCGACGACGACGGTGACGATTACGGTGACGAAGACGATGACGATGACGATGATGATAACGATAATGATGCTGATGGTGATGCTGATGATGATGCTGGTGATGATGAATCTGATGCTGCTGATGATGATGATGAACTTGTTGTTGTTAATGATGATGATGATGATGATGATGATGATGATGATGATGCTGATGCTGATGCTGATGATGATGCTGATGGTGCTGATGCTGATGGTGCTGATGCTGCTGCTGATGATGCTGCTAATGCTGCTGCTAATGATGATGGTGATGATGACCGGGATGATGAACCGACGCTTGTTGTGCCGATCGCGACGAGGACGGAAACGAGAACAGGTAATAGAAATGATGAGGAGCAAGTTGCCCGAAGGGAACGTGTACGGAAGAATGCCACTAATTCGAGACGGAGGGAGGGACGTCGAGAGAGGGAGGGAGGGATGATCATGATGATGAGGAGGAAGATGAGGAGGAGGAGGATGATGAGGAGGAGGAGGAGGAGGGAGGATGAGGAGGAGAAGGAGGAGGATGAGAGTGAGGAGGAGGAAGAGGAGGAGGAGGAGGATGAGGAGGAGGAGGAGCATGAGGAGGAGGAGGAGGATTGTCAAGGCTGTCGTTTAGGACACCGGTCAAATATTACCATATTTGTGTCCCAACACGGTGTTTTTCAGATGGGTCTTGGTCCCTTGCCCCCCCTTGACCTGCTACACGACATGATGGGGCGTCGCGCGTGCCGCTGTGCCCCATCAAACTGCACATTCCCAACATGAATGGGTCTCATCTGGGACGCATGGACCGAACGATTGCGATTCTAAGTCACCTGTCGTTCGTCAGGAGCCTCGTCACAATTGCGGGGCGCTCTTTTGTGTGTGCGTGTATGTAAGCAGAAGCGCGCCCTCTTATCTGAAGCTTCATACCCGATATCCACCCATGGGGGCTTCAAATCGCTCCCAGAGGGGCTCCAGACAAGTGCTGTCTGTGCAACATGGAATCCACGCCGTTCGATTGACACGTCTGCGCCGTTCGTGCGATTGGGCAGCAGGCTGTTCTTGCGACTGCTCCGCCCCTTCGGCGTGCAACGCTTGGGCCGCCGCGCCTGGCGACCAGGGTAAGATAATGGAGGAGACGAAGAATCATGTCAAAGCAGCAAACAAAAGTACTCCAAACCTGGTCCGAACCAAAGAGAAGGCACACGTGAAGACATACGAGTATCACCGGCTGGAATTCCAATACAAGTGTGTCATATTCAAAGTTGTCATTTTAGCCCCAACGGGCCCTGACGCCCTAGATGCTGGCACTCAGCACAAGATGTGCTTCGCACCCACGAAATACATCGTTTTCGTCAGAAAACGGGCTCTGAAGACATCTGCAAATTTTGCCCAAGGTCTTCAGGCTGATTTTTTTTCCTTTGCATGATGTTTTACCACACTTTGAGGGCACTGGAGCTTCATCACCGCAATCAGGCTGTCAAGAGGTAGTGGGCCGGGTCGAAATGTGCAGTGATTTGCCTCCAGGGCGGATTACGAGACATGGCCCAATTCTGTCTTCCAAGACGTTGCACAGCCTCTGAGGGCTGGCTGTGCTCGTGTAAGTGGCTTCTAGCTGATGCACATTGAGTGCAGATGGTATAATGGGCCATCTCTGGTTCATCTTGGGTCGTGTTGGGCGCCTCTTGGGCCGTCTTGGGGCTTTCCCTGAGCCGTCTTGCAGCTCTCTTGGGTCGTCTTGCAGCCTTGCAGGAGGTTCTGAGAGCACCCGGAGGACCTCGAAAATTGCCTCGATCCAAGGGCGGCCCCAGAGGGCCCGGAGACGGCTCTAAGAGGGCCCTCAGAAAGAAAGCACCCGACGACTGCTAGCAGGGAGGTGCGTTGTAGCATCCGTTGGGGGGCCCTTCGGGCTCTCTGGGAGAGCTCGGCGCTGCCACGTGCCGATCCTCCTCCCAGAGGAGGGCCGCCCCACAATTGTGAAGCACGGTTATCTACCACGCGCCTATCCTCGCACCTTCACGAAGGAGTGTCTCCCCGCGGCTGGGAATCAAGCCACTCCCACCCACACGACGCCCATCCAAGTGGGTTCTGGACCAATGCGTGAGCAAAGCCACCCCTCCTAGGGTGCGGGTTCGCCCCGCGACTGTGTAACACAGCTGTCGATCCAACATGCCCGAAAGGTTTCACCGGGAAACAGACCGCCCCACAAGTGTGAAGCCCGAGCATCTACCCCGCGAGCACCCGTGTAACTTCCTAACGAAGGGCCGCCCCACGACTTGTGACGCATTCCAGTTTCCCGCACGACCGAGCGGCCCAACCGCAGAGGTCCTCCCCGCGACTGTGCGGCGGTCGGGATGCGATGCTGTTGCTATTGGTGCAGCGCGCGAATCGCATCAGCAGCCCTCGGAGGGTGGCCGGTTCGAGGACCCCTCTCTTCATTCGGCCGGGGGCTGTACCACGCGTGTCAAAGCGAGGGCTTGGCCCGGCCAGCCTGCCTGGGCCAGTGGCTCCAGCTGCTGCTGGAGGGCGCGCGCCCATCAGAGGGAAAGCATTCGGAGGCCGCTGCCTTGGACGGCTGCGGCTGGCGCCAGCTGGCTGCCAGCCTCGACGCAGCAGAGTAGAACAAATCGTGTCCCCCCCCCGGCATTCCGAAAGCCAGCAATTGCGTTAGCATCAATGGACAAGGACAGCCACAGGCACGGTTGGCTCCAGGATCTTACCTGAGCCGTGCTTCTTGTGGTTGGGATGCTGCAGCTTTCTCACCCTTTTCAGATTAGATGTGGTGTGTGTGTGTGTGTGTGTGCGGAATTCGGAACTCTACTACAGACCTGGCTTCGGTAAGTCACGGATCTACCTTCCGTGAGACAGCCGCGCCTCGGACGTATCACAGTGATGATCTGTGGGTGAGGCCTGACGTGAAGGCTGTGACCCTGAGGGTTAGGGATCACAGCCACGAGGCGATGGTTCTCGTCCGTGTACTCGCCTGCTGGCGGCGCCGCTGTGCCAAACTGGCATGCTCGGCTCGGGTCTGGGCCGCTGGGTCGGCGCGGGAGCTGCGCGTGCCACGCCTGCAGTTCCAGGCGCTGTGATGCCAGAACCAATCATGCAGGACAGGGTGTGCGGAAGGATGGGCGCGACTTTGGCGCGGTCTCGTCCCGGTTGGCTGGGTCGGCTTGACCTCTGCCGGGGCTCTCATCGGCGGCTCCGGCAGTGCATCTTTGGCCGCCGACGTGCCCGTCTGGAAGCTTCGGTTCCACCCCTTTCTTGTGGAAGGCTTGCCTGTTTTTTTTGATGGCGCCTGCCTTGTGTACAGAAGCAGCCCCGTTGCCGCATAGCAGAGGTACAGCTTCAAAATTGCAGCGTTCCCACTGAGTAATATCTGGCGCTCCTCAAGCGATGGCTATGCTAGTAGGGATGTGCCCATCTTCGCATACCTATCTCCGTAATCGATGCCCGTGGCTAAGTGCCATTCCCGCGACTGCGCTCTAGCGTGTCGGCTTTTACGTGCGCTGCTAACTTGTGGATGGTAAATGTCCCATCCCAGGCTGGATCATACCTGATCAATTCACGAGCCATCTTAGACGTGGTGCTTGGAAGCAACTTGCAACCAAGGCTCCAAGGCCAGCCGCACTAGCCCCCACACATCAGAGTGGATGGCGTTTGCCTCTAGGCAGTGTTCCATGCAGGCTAGGACGGCCGCGTGTTCCGCTGCTGGTGATGTCTGGGGATACTGGTCGCCTACTTCCCGCATTGCCACTTAAAGGTCGCCCCCAGCAGTGCGCTTAATCACCGTCCGTCCTGCTACGTGAAATTCAGCGGTCCCGTCCCTGAGGCACGAGCCGTCATTGAAGACTTCTCCCCCGAAGGCGTCGTGGATGCTCACCGAGGAGTCCACGCAACTAGACTGGTAGGGCACAGTGCCCGTACCGCTGGCAGGTTGCATTGAGCATCCTGGCAATTCTAGAAATCTGCAGGCCAATTGTGGATGATAATGTCTGCTGGCTGCGGCAGCTCATTCCTACGGGGGTCTGATCGAGCAGCGGTGCAGCCTGTGCGAAATATCATCTGATTCAGAGACGCGTGGGCATTCGGTGGAGGCCTCGTGCCCTGCCTGCTGGAGCCTCTTGCCTGTCCAGATATATGTTGGCACAGCAATGGCACAATAATGCCCGCTCCTTTCTTTGTCGGTCTGACTTGTAATGGCCTGGCCGGCCGCTGACATATCGAGGCGAGGCTCTGGCTCCAGCCCCATTCTGTTGGAAACCGTTTCCCAGTGGGCGCCTTGCCAAGCAGCGCTCATCACTGTCTCCAGGAGCTTTCTGCTAATGCAGTGTACACTTCCCAGCGAGTGCGCTGCTGTGACAGGATCGCCGCCGCCAGCGGCCCTCGCGCTCCCCCCGAGTCTTTCGGCGGTTTCGCCAGCATCGGGGCGGCAAGCTCGAGTAGCTGGGGCAGAGGAAAATGATGACTCTCTGATCTGTCCGTGTTGGCTCTCCGTGCAAGCATAGACCGAAGGAGTGCTGGCGCCAGCCTTTGCCTCCAGGTGGGGTCTTCGTGCAGCGCTAGACAAAACGAGCGAGAACGAGAGTCCCCGCGCGATCCTACTATGGGCATGAACAAGCTTTGCAGTTTATGAAGTTCATCCTGTGTCCACACCTGTGACCTCCGAGTTTACGCATGTCAGTCCCTGCTTTGCGGAGCGCTGCCAACCTGCGCTTGCGGGTCTGAAGTTTGTTGAGCCGCTTGTTTAGCATTGGGCGGCTGAATCTGCTGCAGCGCAGAGTGTCGACCCCTAGGTCGATGCCCAAATTCTTGCCTGAGGCTGCCACTTTTCCTGCTCTTGCTCGCTTTGGCGAGTTTGCCCCGCAGACCACCCGAATTCGCCAAGTTGATTGATTTGCGATGCGCCACCTTGCAACACACGTCATATTCAATCACTTTGTCGAGAGATTCTGCCCCTTCGCGGAATATCGTCACGACTGCATCCGGGTCATCACGTGTGATACCCATTGGAGAGTCATCGATAACAAGCGACAGCGGGAGGAGCTTATGATCTGTTTGCCACGTGCCAACCTGCTCTACAGTGTATATCTGCACTAGCTACGTGTCGAGTGGGTCTCCTGCTGCTAGACCCTGGACAAGATGCCTTGCCTGTGCGGAGGAGCCCTCGCGGGAGGATGAGGAAGATCGTTCAAGGTCGTTGATTCACTTTGTCCCATCCGTTTTCTCCTACGCTGAGCTTAGGCCACGCTTATGTATTTTCGCTCCGTGCTGGTGGGAGCCAGTGCGGGTAATATTGGTTTAGTCTAGACAAGTCGACGCACGCCGCAACTGCGAATTCCCGTTTGGCTCCTCCGCGTAGCGCCAGTTGGGTCATGCCTCTCCTTGCTTCCTTTCTCTTTTCTCTGCTCTCCTCTCGTCTCCTCCTCCTTCACCCGATTCTAGGACGTTGGCCTTGCCGTGATCATCGGTTGGAGGTGGCTCCCGTTTCCCCTCAAAAACTGCGCTTGGATCCGCACGGAGGAGGATTGTGAGGAGGAGGATGAGGATGAGGATGAGGATGAGGATGAGGATGATGATGATGAGGAGGAGGAGGAGGAGGAGGAGGACGAGGAGGAGGAGGAGGAGAAGGAGGAGGAGGATGAGGAGGAGAGAAAGGAGGAGGGAGAAACAGAAAAAGAGGAGGAGGAGAAGGAGGAGGGGGAGGAGGATGAGGAGGAGGAGGAGGAGGAGGAGGAGGAAGAGGACGATGAGGAGAAGCAGGAGGAGGAGGAGGAGGACGAAATAGGAAAAGAGGAGGAAGAGGAGGAGGAGGAGGAGGAGGAGGAGGAGGAGGAGGAGAAGGAGGAGGAGGAGGAGGAGGAGGAGGGGGAGGAGGAGGAGGAGGAGGAGGAGGAGGAGGAGGAGGAGGAGGAGGAAAAGTTGTTGAAGAGCAGCAAGAGCGACCGTCGTGTGCAGAGCGAGAGCGAGAGGGGGGGGAGAGAGAGAGAGAGAGAGAGAGAGAGAAAAAGAGAGAGAGAAAGAGAGAGAGAGAGAGAGAGCGGCCCGCAGACCTTTGCGAAGACGCAGTATCTCATCGAGAAGGCCGCTTGCACCAGGGGCCCTCCTCCTGCCTGTTCCCTCCTCCCTGCCCCGCCTCTTGCCTTCTCCTCTTCTTCTCCCTGCTTCTCCCTCCCCTCTTCCTCCTCTTTCGTGCTTTTGCCTCGTCCCTCCTCCCTCCTTCCGTCAGGGAAAGCGCAGGCGACGCCGAGTTCCCTTGCAATTTCCAGCAGCAACATCCTCTGAAGGAGGGCCGAGCCCCCTCAGGCCAGAGGGCAGGACCCACCCGCTGCCGAGGCTTCCAGCTCAGGCTCCAGCTCTCCCTTCCCTCCTCCCTAGTCCTCCCCCCGCTCAATCCAGGCTCGCCCCGCCCGCCAGAGGGATCGGGACTCCTTACACTGGCCCCCCCCCTCCCCCCTTCTCCTGAGCGCTCCCCCTTCCCCCTGCCGTCGCGCCCTCTTCCGAAGCTCCCCCGGTTCCCCAGGCGACCGCGCTGAAGCAGATCGACGCCACCCGGAGCGGCACCACCTGCTCGGCGGGCCTGCGCCCCCTCCTGCACGCCCGCCCGCTCGAGCTGGCATCCGAGGCCTCCCGCCCCCGAGACGGCCCACGAAGCAGCCGCCGGACCCCCAGGAAGGCCCCCCTCCCTGGAGGGTTTCTCCGAAGGGCTTAGGCGACCCGTCCTCCTCCTCCTCCTCCTCCTCCTCCTCCTCCTCCTCCTCCTCCTCCTCCTCCTCCTCCTCCCCCTCCACATTTACTCAATATGAATACTACTCTCCCTCTTCCCCTGATGACGGCTTGAAAGTATTAGCCCCCCCCCCCGCGTATTGTATTTCAACACACAGGATTCCCCGGAGTTGGGTTTTCGCTGGCATTTTTTTCCAAAATGCTGCTCTCGCTGAGGCGCCGGCCTCATTTTCGGGCCCCGCTCGTTCCGAATCGTGCTCCCGCTGCAGCGCTGGCTTCATTTCTGTGCTTCCGCTCGTTCCGAATCGTGCTCCCGCTGCAGCACTGGCCTCATTTCCGCGCTTCCGCTCGTTCCGACTCGTGCTCCCGCTGCAGCGCTGGCGTCATTTCCCGTGCCATGCCACGGCATGCAATGCAATGCTACGTTGATGCTACGCTTTGCGGTGCTCTTCTACGCCATGCCATGCCGTGCTTACAATGCATCGCGTACCCTTTCGGGATCATTGCCCTGTTCGACATCCGACTGTGCGAGTAGAGAGGGGATCTACGCCATGGTAAGGGATGGGAGGGAGGGGTAGGATGTCAGATATGACGCGAGCGCACCTAGCTTGTCCTCCCCCCTCCCCCTCCTCCTCCCCCTCCTCGCCCTTCCTTCCTCGGGTCGCCTACGGCCCCGGGGGAAACCGTGCACCCTCCCAATCCCCCAAGAGGCCCAGAGGCTGCCACCGGGAGCCAGTGGTTGCCCGCGGCCCCGTGCCTGGAGGCGCCTCGGACAGAAATCACGACCTGCCGATTTCTGTCGGCGAGTTCGGCCTCCAGGGGAGGTTCCTCGGGAGTGGAATCCCATAGGTACTCCGCTGGAGTCCTTCCGAGGGAGTCGAGTCCACTGGAGTCCTGTTCCGATGGAGTAGTATTCCAGTTGGTCCCTTTGGTATTCCGATGAAGTCCAATGGAGTTGGACTCTATCCATGGAGTTTCATGGAGTCCAACGGTCTCCCATGGAGTCCGCCGGAGGCCAATGTAGCCCATTGGAGTCCAATAGAGCCCAGCGGAGTCCAGTGAAGTCCTACGGAGTACACAGGAGTCCAAGGGAGTCCTGTGGAGTCCCGGTGAATGCAGGTTTCGAGCCCACGCTGGTGCAGATTGGCCTCCTGGGCAGGCCCCCAGGGCCTGCGAGACTGCCCGCCCAAGGGGCCCCCAATCAGGAGGGGAAAAAACACACAGACACAATTAATCGTCGATTCCCAAGAAAATATGGGAAAATATTGGAATTGGGCGGGAAGACAAAAACCCCCAAAATATGGGAAATGATGGGACATCTTTTTATTTGTGTGTATTTATTTGTGTGTCCCAGGGCCCCTTCACCCAAGACATTCCGAGGACGGTCCCTTGGGGCTACCGAGGGCTCCAGATTCAGCATTCCTGAGCGTCTCTTGGAAGGCTCTGGGGGCATGTTGGAGTCAGTTTGGGAGCGCCAGGAGCGGCCAACAACGCCTGGGA